GGCTCAAGCGGTCTTAAGGTGTCAGCCGTGGCATCAACTTTCCCTGTTATCAGAGGAAGGAAGCCAGAGGCCAGGGCCTCTTCAGGGTGGTGGGCTGGAGGGGGCGGGCCGGCTCGCGAGGCGTGGCCCTATGAAGGGGCAGGCTGGGCGCGGAGGCGGTGACTATGCCGCGGAGGGGGCGGGCCCAGATTTGGGGGGCCGCGCGCCAGAGATGGAACAAAGGCAGAGGCGGGGACAAAGCCCCGCGGCCCCCAGTCCCCATCAGGAACAAAGGCCACACCCGGCCCAGCGGCCGACGCACCCGTGCTGCAGCCACGTGCGGACACCTGGGAGCGGGGCCTGGGGAGGCTGTGCCCCGTTACCCTCACGCCCCGCCCGGCTGCCCACTTTACCTGTGCGCGCCTTGGGAGTGGCGAATGGGTTTCACGGTGGTTCGCGCCAGTCCTCGCGGCCTCCAAACATCCTCCGGAAGCTGTCACCTACCCCGCCCCCAGCCGTTGTCACCTGGACCGGAGACCTCAGGGCCCCAGGGGCACTGCACAAGGGGCTGAGGCCCACCCCCTCCCCGGGGGCAGCCTCAATGCACCCACCCAGGTTTTCAACGCGCTGACAGTCCCTAGGCGGGTTGGCCTCTACCTTCAGACCCTGCTCACCCCGTAGACATGATTCCTCTCCCCCAGATCCTGCGTCCCTCAGAGTCCCCACACAGACCCCGCTTCCCTCCTCAGACAGGCTTCTCCCCCCACACACCCCGCTTCCCTCCTCAGACAGGATTCTCCCCACACACACCCCGCTTCCCTCAGACAGGCTTCTCCTCACACACACCCCGCTTCCCTCCTCAGACAGGATTCTCCCCCCACACACCCCGCTTCCCTCAGACAGGCTTCTCCTCACACACACCCCGCTTCCCTCAGACAGGATTCTCCCCCCCCACACCCCGCTTCCCTCAGACAGGATTCTCCCCCCACACACCCCGCTTCCCTCAGACAGGATTCTCCCCTCACACACCCCGCTTCCCTCCTCAGACAGGATTCTCCCCCCGACACACCCCGCTCCCTCAGACAGGCTCCCCCACACCCCGCTTCCCTCAGACAGGATTCTCCCCCCACACACCCCGCTTCCCTCAGACAGGCTTCTCCTCACACACACCCCGCTTCCCTCAGACAGGCTTCTCCTCACACACACCCCGCTTCCCTCCTCAGACAGGATTCTCCCCCCACACACCCCGCTTCCCTCCTCAGAAAGGATTCTCGGCCGGGCGCGGTGGCTCAAGCCTGTAATCCCAGCACTTTGGGAGGCCGAGGCGGGCGGATCACGAGGTCAGGAGATCGAGACCATCCTGGCTAACACGGTGAAACCCCGTCTCTACTAAAAATACAAAAAGAAATTAGCCGGGCGTGGTGGCGGGCGCCTGTAGTCCCAGCTACTCGGGAGGCTGAGGCAGGAGAATGGCGTGAATCCGGGAGGCGGAGCTTGCAGTGAGCCGAGATCGCGCCACTGCACTCCAGTCTGGGCGACAGAGCGAGACTCCGTCTCAAAAAAAAAAAAAAAAAAAAAAGAAAGGATTCTCCCTCCACACACCCCGCTTCCCTCCTCAGACAGGATTCTCCTCACACACACCCCGCTTCCCTCCTCAGACAGGATTCTCCCCCCACACACCCCGCTTCCCTCAGACAGGCTTCTCCCTCCACACACCCCGCTTCCCTCCTCAGACAGGATTCTCCCCACACACACCCCGCTTCCCTCCTCAGACAGGATTCTCCCCACACACACCCCGCTTCCCTCCTCAGACACACCCGTTCCTCCGGTCCCCCACACACCCCGCTTCCCTCAGACAGGATTCTCCCCCCACACACCCCGCTTCCCTCAGACAGGCTTCTCCCCCCACACACCCCGCTTCCCTCAGACAGGATTCTCCCCACACAGACCCGGCTTCCCTCAGACAGGATTCTCCCCACACAGACCCCGCTTCCCTCCTCAGACAGGCTTCTCCTCACACAGACCCCGCTTCCCTCAGACAGGATTCACCCCCCACACACCCCGCTTCCCTCAGACAGGATTCTCCCCACACAGACCCGGCTTCCCTCAGACAGGCTTCTCCCCCCGACACACCCCGCTTCCCTCCTCAGACAGGCTTCTCCCCCCACACACCCCGCTTCCCTCAGACAGGATTCTCCCCATACAGACCCCGCTTCCCTCAGACAGGATTCTCCCCACACAGACCCCGCTTCCCTCCTCAGACAGGCTTCTCCTCACACAGACCCCGCTTCCCTCAGACAGGATTCACCCCCGACACACCCAGCTTCCCTCCTCAGACAGGATTCTCCCCACACAGAGCCCGCTTCCCTCAGACAGGCTTCTCCCCCCGACACACCCTGCTTCCCTCAGACAGGATTCTCCCCCCACACACCCCGCTTCCCTCAGACAGGATTCTCCCCCCGACACACCCCGCTTCCCTCCTCAGACAGGATTCTCCCCCCACAGACCCCGCTTCCCTCCTCAGACAGGCTTCTCCCCCCACACACCCCACTTCTCTCCTCAGACAGGATTCTCCCCATACAGACCCCGCTTCCCTCAGACAGGATTCTCCCCCCCACACACACCCCCCTTCTCTCCTCAGACAGGATTCTCCCCCCACACACCCCACTTCCCTCCTCAGACAGGATTCTCCCCACACAGACCCCGCTTCCCTCAGACAGGATTCTCCCCCCACACACCCCGCTTCCCTCCTCAGACAGGATTCTCCCCACACAGACCCCGCTTCCCTCCTCAGACAGGCTTCTCCCCACACAGATCCCGCTTCCCTCAGACAGGATTGTCCCCCTACACACCCCGCTTCCCTCAGACAGGATTCTCCCCATACAGACCCCGCTTCCCTCCTCAGACAGGATTCTCCCCCCACACACCCCACTTCCCTCCTCAGACAGGATTCTCCCCACACAGACCCCGCTTCCCTCCTCAGACAGGCTTCTCCCCACACAGATCCCGCTTCCCTCAGACAGGATTGTCCCCCCGCACACACCCCACTTCTCTCCTCAGACAGGATTCTCCCCACACAGACCCCGCTTCCCTCTGACAGGATTCTCCCCCCACACTCCCCACTTCCCTCCTCAGACAGGATTTTCCCCACACAGACCTTGCTTCCCTTCTCAGACAGGATTCTCCCCATACAGACCCCGCTTCTCTCCTCAGACAGGATTCTCCCCCCACAGACCCCGCTTCTCTCCTCAGACAGGATTCTCCCCCCACACACTCTGCTTCCCTCCTTAGACAGGCTTCTCCCCACACAGACCCGGCTTCCCTCAGACAGGATTCTCCCCACACAGATCCCGCTGCCCTCCTCAGACAGGATTCTCCCCCCACACACCCCACTTCCCTCCTCAGACAGGATTCTCCCCCCACACACCCCCCTTCCCTCCTCATTCAGACAAGGTTCCCCTCCCTACACAGACCCTGCTGACAGGATTCTCCTCACACAGACCCTACTTCCCTCCTCAGACAGGATTCTCCCCACACAGACTCTGTTTCCCTCCTCAGACAGAATTCTCTCCACACAGACCCTGTTTCCGTCCTCACTCAGACAAGGTTCCCCTCCCCACACAGACCCTATTGACAGGATTCTCCTCACACAGACCCTACTTCCCTCCTCAGACAGGATTTTCCCCACACGGACCCTGCTGCCCTCCTCAGATAGGATTCTTCCCACGCAGACCCGCTTCCCTCCTCAGACAGGGTTCACCTCCCCACACAGACCCTGTTTCCCTCAGACAGGATTCTCCCCACACAAACCCTACTTTCCTCCTCAGACAGGATTCTCCCCACACGGACCCGCTTCCTTCCCTCCTGGGGATTCCCCACTGTTGAGGTTCAGTTTCCCCATCTGGAAAAGCATCAAAGTCAGGGTAGCCACTGACTAAATCATGCGGACGGGACGCCTGGGGGGCTGGATGGGATTTCATAGACTCATTGCTCTGTAGCCTCTTGTGATTTATAGTTTGTGTGTGTGTTTTTGCGGGGGGCGGTAGGGGGGCCGGCGTGGTGGCTTACACCTGTAATTCCAGCTCTTTGGGAGGTCGAGGCGGGTTGATCACCTGAGGTGGGGAGTTGGAGACCAGCCTGGCCAAAGTGGTGAAAGTCAGTCTCTACTAAAAATACAAAAAATAGTCGGGCGTGTGGAGGCGGATGTCTGTAATCCCAGCTACTCAGGAGGCTGAGGCAGGATAATTGCTTGAACCCGGGAGGCAGAGGTTGCAGTGAGCCGAGATCGCGCCACTGCACTCCAGCCTGGGCAACAGAGCAAAACTCCGTCTCAAAACAAACACAAAAAGATTTCTTCTTTTGAGATGGAGTTTCGCTCTTTTCTCCCAGGCTGTAGTGCAATGGCACGATCTCGGCTCACTACAACCTTCGCCTTCCGGGTTCAAGCGATTCTCCTGCCTCAGCCTCCCGAGTAGCTGGGAGTACAGGCGCTCGCCACCACGCCCGGCTAATTTTTGTATTTTTAGTAGAGACGGGGTTTCACCACGTTGCCCAGGCTGGTCTCGAACTCCCGACCTCAGGTGATCGACCCGCCTCGACCTCCCAAAGTGCTGGGATTAAAGGCGTGAGCCGCCGCGCCCGGCCACATTTTTTTCGATCTGTTGTCTAGGCTGGCGTGCAGTGGCACAATCCCGGCTCACTGCTGCCCCGGCCTCCTGGGCTAAACGGAGCCTCCCGATTCGCCTAAGAAAATGGTGGGATTACAGGTATGAGCCACGGCGCCCGTCTGTGATCTACATTTGATTTAGGCAACTTTCTGTGTTTCTCAAGTTTAACTATAACGTGGTTAAAATTCAAAAGTCAGCCCCTGCTCTCACACAGGCGCTTCCTCCCTCCTGGGATGAAGCCTGTCCTCCCCTCTCCCGGGGCACAGCCCTTTACTCCGTCTTGGCCCCGCCTACTTCTCCATTGGCCCTGCCCCCTATCCCGAACGCTTAGTGACGCAGAGGCTGGAGACGACTCTACGCGAGCGAAAAGACGCGGGTTGAGGAAGAGTTACGGACTGCCCATGCGCTTGGGCGCACAGCGGCCCGCTTCGGTGTGGTCTGGAGGTGGAGCTGAGAGGGGAATCACACTCTATAAAGGTGCGCACACCCCACTGGCGGATTAAATTGCGGCAGTGACGTCACAGAGGGACCGCCCCGCCCCCACAAGACCCCACCGACGTGGGGTTGGCCGTGGTGGAAGGACCCGGAGTGGGCGCGTGCGTACTGGCAGCCTCTCCCGCCCCGACCGGCCTGGGCCCCGCCCCCGGGCGTGCGGCGCCCAATGCGCGTGCGCGGCGGCGTCGGCGCCAGTTATTTCTGTCCCGCCCCCCGGCCTCGGCTCTTTCTGCGAGCGGGCGCGCGGGCGAGCGGTTGTGCTTGTGCTTGTGGCGCGTGGTGAGGGTTTCGGCGGCGGCTGAGGAAGAAGCGCGGGCGGCGCCTTCGGGAGGCGAGCAGGCAGCAGTTGGCGGTGCCGCAGCAGCGTCCCGCGCGCGGCGGGCAGCGGCCCAGGAGGCGCGTGGCGGTGCTCGGCCTCGCGGCGGCGGCGGCGGCGGCCCAGCAGTTGGCGGCGAGCGCGTCTGCGCCTGCGCGGCGGGCCCCGCGCCCCTCCTCCCCCCTGGGCGCCCCCGGCGGCGTGTGAATGGCGGCCTCGGCGGCGGCAGCCTCGGCAGCAGCGGCCTCGGCCGCCTCTGGCAGCCCGGGCCCGGGCGAGAGCTCCGCTGGCGGCGAAAAGCGCTCCACCGCTTCTTCGACCGCGGCCTCGGCCTCGGCCTCGGCCTCGGTGTCGTCGCCCGCGGGGGGCGGCGCCGAGGCGCTGGAGCTGCTGGAGCACTGCGGCGTGTGCAGAGAGCGCCTGCGACCCGAGAGGGAGCCCCGCCTGCTGCCCTGTTTGCACTCGGCCTGTAGTGCCTGCCTAGGGCCCGCGGCGCCCGCCGCCGCCAACAGCTCCGGGGACGGCGGGGCTGCGGGCGACGGCGCCGGTAAGTACGAAGTGATCGGGGCCACCCCTCCCCCTACTCTCTGCCTTTGATTCCCACTGGGTGCAGAGATGAGGATGCCACCTGGGCAAGAGGATGGGGGCCCGGACAGTGCACGGGGAGTACTTTCTGGGTCCTGCATAGGAACGTGGGTTTGAGCTGGCCGCTGAGATGAGACATCTGACTAAAGTTGGAGAAAGGGCTCAGGGAGGGGAGGGGAGGGGCTGGCTCGCTGCGGGGTAATGGTCGGGGGCCCACCCAGCACGGGGATGCGGGGGGCCATAACTTAGGTGGGAACTTGTAACAGTCTCCCACGTCTCTGCCCCTTGAAGTGGTGGACTGTCCCGTGTGCAAGCAACAGTGCTTCTCCAAAGACATCGTGGAGAATTATTTCATGCGTGATAGTGGCAGCAAGGCTGCCACCGACGCCCAGGATGCTAACCAGGTGCGTCCAACCGCAGCAACCACAGGGTGGTTTCTGGGGAGGGGGCATCTGCCCAGGAGGAGCTTGACACCAGCTCCCAGGCTGTTACTCGACTTTCCCAAGGCTCTGGGTGGGCTGTCTAGGCTGGGTCAAGGGACCAATCTTAATCTTGGGTTGTATTTTCTGAGGTGTAGATGTGGATCTAGCAAGTTGTCTTGCTTTTTCTGACCCTGCCTTTGTCTGGCAGTGCTGCACTAGCTGTGAGGATAATGCCCCAGCTACCAGCTACTGTGTGGAGTGCTCGGAGCCTCTGTGTGAGACCTGTGTAGAGGCGCACCAGCGGGTGAAGTACACCAAGGATCACACTGTGCGCTCTACTGGTACGTGAGGCTGAGGGGGCTGTTGCTTTCCCGTGTGTGCCCTCAGTTGCTTTTATAATGTTGGTTGCATTTGGTGGATGGGTCCTAGAGTTGTCCAGGGGGTGCCGCCCGAAGGGCCGGAGAGCAGAACTCCAAAAGCAGGAAAATTGTGGTTGTGGTGTGTAGTCTCTAGGGCTTAGGTGGGAGGGGGTGGGAAGGGGAGACGTGGAGACCTTAATGTGCTGCAGGGAGGTACAGAGGGTTTGAGGAAGCTTATCAGGGAGTTCTCAGTCCTGGTGTTGAAGGGCTCAGAATATGCAAACAGGGAAAGGCATGGTGTGAAGGGCTTACTGGGTTTGTGGTTCCCTGGCACACATCTGGTATAAGATGCTGTTAGGGAAAATGAGACTTTGTGGGTCCATGGGTTATAAGTGATGGTGATTTCTGGAAACGTTTTAGCTTTTGAGTTGGCAGAGACTTACCCGGAGTTTGGTTTGGCATTTCCAGCTTTTCGCAGACACTCGCTAGCTTTGATTTGGAAAGGAGCTTGAGAGTCTTTTGAGTGTAGCCCAGTTTTTGGGCCAAAATCCTCCCATGAGTGGCCTTTTGGTAGCCATACCGTGATTCTTCCCATCCCAGAGGCCAGCATTGGTGGAAGATAGTGGGAAAGTGGCGGCTGTGGGGCCTGAGGAGCCAGGAGGGATAGGCAGGGGCTGCAGGGTGTCCTACATTCCAGACGTCCCAAGCAAAGGTCAGGGTGCAGGAATGGTGGCACTGGGGAAGTCAGTTTCCCCAGTGAGCCCTGATGCTACGTATTTTGGATTTGGTTGGTATGTTGGACCACTATGCTTAATCGGTTTTCTAATGGGGAAGCAGGCTTTGAAGGTTATTAATGTGTTGGTCTTGGGGTGGAATTATGCTGAGCACCAAGCTCCTGGTCTAGAGGGGGTGTGACCACCATTCTGAGGGTCCTAGTTTGACATTTTATCTCTCCCAGTATGAGAACCTCTACAGGTTTTCTCTGGGCTCTTGGGTTGTAAGAGACCCTGGTGTTTTCTTGTCACGAAAGAGGGAGGAAGTTAACCATGAAAGGAGAAGGAAAGGAGTCCAGGGTGGTTTGTAGGCAGAATTCTGAATATGTCCACTTGGAGAATAAAGGGAACAGTGTGTGTGGGGGGGTAGTCCTCTTTTTCCGGAGGCTGTCCTTACCTTTACCTTTGTGTCACCTCTAGAAGCTAGAAGAAAGGGATGTGTTTCTTAGCTATGTTGGGGCAGAAGTTTCTGGGAGCAAGGAATTGGGCTTGCAGGCCTGTGTTCTTCGCTGGCCACACCCTCTACATCTTCCCAATAAATGGCCCAGTGTCACAGAATGGGCAGGAAATGAGGCCCCAACTTAGTCTGCTTCCTGAGTTGGGGGTGGTGAAGGGCAAGGTCCAGCCTTATGATTCCGACTCCCCAGGGCCAGCCAAGTCTCGGGATGGTGAACGTACCGTCTATTGCAACGTACACAAGCATGAACCCCTTGTGCTGTTTTGTGAGAGCTGTGATACTCTCACCTGCCGAGACTGCCAGCTCAATGCCCACAAGGACCACCAGTGAGTCCCAAGGCATAGTGGTTGGGTGGGTGCCACCCCTTCCCTAGCTTAGTGCTCAGGAACACATTTGTCTGCTCTCAGGTACCAGTTCTTAGAGGATGCAGTGAGGAACCAGCGCAAGCTCCTGGCCTCACTGGTGAAGCGCCTTGGGGACAAACATGCCACATTGCAGAAGAGCACCAAGGAGGTTCGCAGCTCGTAAGTGTGGGTTCTGGGGCTGTGGAGTGGCCCAGGGCAGCAAGACCCTACCTAGCCTGACCTGCTGTGTCCCCTAGGATTCGCCAGGTGTCTGATGTACAGAAGCGTGTGCAAGTGGATGTCAAGATGGCCATCCTGCAGATCATGAAGGAACTGAATAAGCGGGGCCGTGTGCTGGTCAACGATGCCCAGGTAATCCTTGTGCCAGTGAGAGGGTCCCTGAGCCCGCTCTGCTGATTGATAATGCTTTCCCGGGTAAGGAGTGATCCCAGTGTTCTCTGCCTTCTTTGCTTACCCCATACATCTTCCATTTGCAGAAAGTTACTGAGGGGCAGCAGGAGCGCCTGGAGCGGCAGCACTGGACCATGACCAAGATCCAGAAGCACCAGGAGCACATTCTGCGCTTTGCCTCTTGGGCTCTGGAGAGTGACAACAACACAGCCCTTCTGCTTTCTAAGAAGTTGGTGTGTACTGGTGGGCTTCCAGCTGGTGGGTTCCAGGCAGGTGGCTCCCAGTACCTCAAATCCCTATTTGTTGTTGGTGTGCTCATTCTTTCTTCCCTTTCACTCCCAACCAGATCTACTTCCAGCTGCACCGGGCCCTCAAGATGATTGTGGATCCCGTGGAGCCACATGGCGAGATGAAGTTTCAGTGGGACCTCAATGCCTGGACCAAGAGTGCCGAGGCCTTCGGTGGGTCCCAGCTCTACCTTGCTCTGCTTTGTTATTACCCCATGTACTGTACCTGCTTATGTTTCTCTTTTTTTTGTGCAGGCAAGATTGTGGCAGAGCGTCCTGGCACTAACTCAACAGGCCCTGCACCCATGGCTCCTCCAAGAGCCCCAGGGCCCCTGAGCAAGCAGGGCTCTGGCAGCAGCCAGGTGAGCAGGAGAGAGGACCCAGAAAGGGGTGGGCAGGGAATGGGGTCCAACAGGGTTCCTGTCCCACTGAGGCAGAGGGCTCTGCTTTGTTCACAGCCCATGGAGGTTCAGGAAGGCTATGGCTTCGGGTCAGGTGAGTGGGTCTGCCTAGTGGGTGGGGAAGGGCCCCAGTGCTGTTTCTACCCCGACCTGCCAGTCTTCTTTCTCCATTTTCTAAGTAGATGATCCCTACTCAAGTGCAGAGCCTCACGTGTCAGGTGTGAAACGGTAAGTGTGGCACCTCCCCTGGGGGTGGAGGTGGATGGAGGGTAGGGGTGTGCTCATGCCAGGTTGCTGCATCTACAGGTCCCGCTCAGGTGAGGGCGAGGTGAGCGGCCTTATGCGCAAGGTGCCACGAGTGAGCCTGGAACGCCTGGACCTGGACCTCACAGCTGACAGCCAGCCACCCGTCTTCAAGGTCTTTCCAGGCAGTACCACTGAGGACTACAACCTTATTGTTATTGAACGTGGCGCCGCTGCTGCAGCTACTGGCCAGCCAGGGACTGCACCTGCAGGAACCCCTGGTGCGCCACCCCTGGCTGGTATGGCCATTGTCAAGGTAAGTCTGTCCCAAGGAACTATAGCTGTAGGATGAAGCCTATAGTCCAGGTCTGGACCCTGTTGAACACCCCTCATCACCACCTTGCAGGAGGAGGAGACGGAGGCTGCCATTGGAGCCCCTCCTACTGCCACTGAGGGCCCTGAAACCAAACCTGTGCTTATGGCTCTTGCGGAGGGTCCTGGTGCTGAGGGTCCCCGCCTGGCCTCACCTAGTGGCAGCACCAGCTCAGGGCTGGAGGTGGTGGCTCCTGAGGGTTCCTCAGCCCCAGGTGGTGGCCCGGGAACCCTGGATGACAGTGCCACCATTTGCCGTGTCTGCCAGAAGCCAGGTGATCTGGTCATGTGCAACCAGTGTGAGTTTTGTTTCCACCTGGACTGTCACCTGCCGGCCCTGCAGGATGTACCAGGGTGAGTGTGAGGCTGGTGTGGGTCTAGTCTGGGTGTTGGGCTGTCTGGACAGGATCATGTGCAGACCCTTATTCTCTTCACCCTAGGGAGGAGTGGAGCTGCTCACTCTGCCATGTGCTCCCTGACCTGAAGGAGGAGGATGGCAGCCTCAGCCTGGATGGTGCAGACAGCACTGGCGTGGTGGCCAAGCTCTCGCCAGCCAACCAGCGGGTGAGGGCTGGGGTTACTTAGGTGGGGTTGCCCAGAGAGGCTTTATAGGTGCTACCCAGAGCTGTGACATCCAGTACACTGTTTGTAGAAATGTGAGCGTGTTCTGCTGGCTCTCTTCTGTCATGAACCCTGCCGCCCCCTGCATCAATTGGCTACCGACTCCACCTTCTCCCTGGTGAGTCCTAGGACGGGAAAGTCGGGGGGGAGGGGGCGGTGGTGGCTGCCGGGTCTCACCCTCAACCTATGTATGTATATGTGTGTCTTTGTGTGTGTATGTGTGATCTCTGCCTGTAGGACCAGCCCGGTGGCACCCTGGATCTGACCCTGATCCGCGCCCGCCTGCAGGAGAAGTTGTCACCTCCCTACAGCTCCCCACAGGAGTTTGCCCAGGATGTGGGCCGCATGTTCAAGCAATTCAACAAGTTAACTGAGGTGAGCCAGTGGAATGGAGGGGCTGTGGGCAGGGAGAGATGTGAAGGAAAGCTAGGACCCATTCATCCACTGCATTCCTGCTTGGTCCAGGACAAGGCAGACGTGCAGTCCATCATCGGCCTGCAGCGCTTCTTCGAGACGCGCATGAACGAGGCCTTCGGTGACACCAAGTTCTCTGCTGTGCTGGTGGAGCCCCCGCCGATGAGCCTGCCTGGTGCTGGCCTGAGTTCCCAGGAGCTGTCTGGTGGCCCTGGTGATGGCCCCTGAGGCTGGAGCCCCCATGGCCAGCCCAGCCTGGCTCTGTTCTCTGTCTTGTCACCCCATCCCCACTCCCCTGGTGGCCTGACTCCCACTCCCTGGTGGCCCCATCCCCCAGTTCCTCACGATATGGTTTTTACTTCTGTGGATTTAATAAAAACTTCACCAGTTCCTCAGGCCTTGGCTGGTTGGGGGGCTGTGGTCCTAGGGCCTGGTTTATTGACTGTATCTGCTATTCAGCCTTATCAAGCACTGGTGGCACAAGGGAGGGGGGTCTTGTCCCCAGCCTACCCAAGCCCATGTGTATGGATGCCTAGGGAGTGGGGAAGACTGCAGCCTACCCAAGCCCATGTGTATGGATGCCTAGGGAGTGGGGAAGACTGCCTCCTTGCCCTTTCTGGATATGGGGAGGGCACCCAGGGCAAAGGATGTACACGCTACAGGCTTGTTTGGTACCTTTTGCGATACTGGGTGGGTGTGACCTGCAGCCCTGTGTAGGCAGGGTTAGCCCCACTCTACTGAATACTTCGTAAACTTTGGTGCCGTAGCTGTTTCTCATCTTCAGATGGTACCACAGTGAACTGAGACCTTCCAAATATGGTTTTTTCCGTCTCCCTTTGCTGAGTCCACTTAATATTATCATTCATCCCTGTGTTATGATTTAGTTACTCTACAGTTGAGCCCGTGTGAATCTCAAGGTCACCCCCTTGCCTCTGTTGGTTGGTCTGGACTGTCCTCGAATGTTGTCATTAAATCATCACTGGACCAAACAGTGTTGGGCACTAAAGCCTGGCAGATGGAGGACTGGCCTCTCAAGATCCTACCAGGGGCCGGGCGCGGTGGCTCAAGCCTGTAATCCCAGCACTTTGGGAGGCCGAGATGGGCGGATCACAAGGTCAGGAGATCGAGACCATCCTGGCTAACACGGTGAAACCCCATCTCTACTAAAAAATACAAAAAACTAGCCGGGCGAGGTGGCGGGCGTCTGTAGTCCCAGCTACTCGGGAGGCTGAGGCAGGAGAATGGCGTGAACCCGGGAGGCGGAGATTGCAGCGAGCTGAGATCCGGCCACTGCACTCCAGTCTGGGCGACAAAGCGAGACTCTGTCTCAACAAAAAAAAAAAAAAAAAAAAAGATCCTACCAGGGTGTTTGGGGGAGTCCAGTATCTTGAGAGGGGATGGAGCAGGGCCCACAGCTCACCTCAAGCTCCCAATCCCTGAAAAACCCCAGGTGGACTTTGCTTGTCCACCCCTGCCCCAAACTCCCACCCTTAGCTTTGTACCAAGTGCCTCTTGGCGTTAGGTGATACTTGTCCTCCCAGGGACCCCAGCCTGGTCCCACATCAGGCCAAAAGTCACATGGGCCTAGAGACTAGTGTCCAATCTCTTTTATTACAGAGGGGTTAGGGTAAAAGATCCTGGGCATCCACTGGTTATCTTGGAGTGGCAAGGGGCACTCAGTCCCTCCGCAGGTTCTTGAGCCGTTCCTCCAGGTCTGCATCAGCATCAGCTAGGGCTGAGGCTGCGGCCTCTGCTTTTTTCCCACCAGCAGCCACACTGAGCGAGCCCCCAGTTGAGGGGAGGTCTGCAGAGAAAGGGGGGGTTTGAGCAGGGGAGGGGAGTAATGCAGGCAAAGGGAGGGCTTGGGGCTGTGGCTGGGCCTTGGGTGGGAAATGGGGCCCAGGTTTTGGAGCACTCACTTGACAGCTCATCTGTTAGGCTAAGTCCCAGCTCATCCAGGACCTGGGACACAACAGCATCACTAGGGAAGAGAGAGAACTCAATGAGGGCTATGTACTCCATGAGGGCCAGGCAAACATCTCTACGCTCCCATCCAGTTTCCCCATACCTCTCCTCTTCGTCTTCCTCATCACCCATGGCATCATCAATAGCATCATTCATCATCTCCTCCTTCATATCCATGATCTCTGCCTGCCGTTCAAACTCCATCATGATCTTCTGGATCTGGGGCAACTTCAGCTGGAAGTGGTAGGAGTGTGAGTGTGGTCCCCATGGGTCGTGGGAGTGGGAAGGGGGATTGGGAAAAGCGCACCTGTCTGTTCATGGTGCCCATGGCCTTGGTGACACCCTTCATTGCTTGTGCCATCGAGTTGTTGGACTTGAGTGTCTGAATCTTGAGGGACACAGCCTGGATGTTGGCCCGCATCAATACAAACTTGCGCACATAGCGCCGGGTGCGCACCAAATCTTTTGCCATGATGCGAACGGCATCCTGCAGAGTAGACAGGTATCAAGGACACAGGAGTGAGATTATCCTATACTTCTTGACACCCCGTTAGTTAGGTGTTCCTCCCCACCACCCCAATTCGCAATTCCACTTGAAGTTTACAGAGACTTTGTGGCTAACCCAATGGTCACTGATCCCTCCCCCCTGACCTAACCCTTCTCTGCCTCTTGGGCCACCAACTCCCTGGGCTCCTTTGTAAGGTCCTCCTCACCTCTCTTGATTCGTAAATGGTAAAAGGCCCCAGGCTCACTCCTTAGGGTTCCTTTTCTCTCCATGTTTTCAGTCATTCTTTTGACTTAACAACAGCTATTGCTCAATTTCTATTCCCAGCCTAGAAGAATCTAGAAGAAGAATCTGCCCCTTCTTCCACTTGATACAAACCCACACCTCAAACTATCCAGAATCACATACAAACCTGAGGCTCAGCTTTTGATTTCCTCTCCAAACATCTTTCTTGCCCATCCCAAGAAATGCTATCTTCTCTACCTACCTGTTCAGGCCAAAACCCTCTCACCCATCAAAGGCTGTGTTCCTTCTTCATGTCTCCTTACTGGTTTTGGCAGCCTCTGCCATAGCTTATCCTTATCCTTTTTTTTTTCTTTTTTTGAGATGGAGTCTTGCTTTGTTGCCTAGGCTGGAGTGCTGTGGCACAATCTTGGCTCACTGAAACCTATGCCTCCCGGGTTCAAGTGATTTTCCTGCCTCAGCCTCTCGAATAGCTGGGATAACAAGCATGCACCACCATGTCCGGCTAATGTTTGGTAGAGCAGGCTTCTGCTGTGTTGGCCAGGCTGGTCTTGAACTCCTGACCTCGGGTGATCCATCCACCTCAGCCTCCCAAAGTGCTGGGATTACAGGCGTGAGCCACCATGCCTGGCCAGCTTATCCTTATAGTTATCTTTTTTCTTTTTCTTTTTTTGTTTTGAGACAGAGTCTTGCTCTGTTGCCCAGGCTGGAGTGCAGTGGCACAATGTCAGCTCATTGTAACCTCCGCCTCCTGGGTTCAAGTGATTGTCCTGCCTCAGCCTCCAGAGTAGCTGGGATTACAGGTGTGCACCACCACGCCCAGCTAGTTTTTTGTATTTTCAGTAGAGCTGGGGTTTCACCACGCTGGTCAGGCTGGTCTCGAAGTCCTGACCTCAGGTGATGCAACCACCTTGGCCTCCCAAAGTGCTGGGATTACAGGTGTGAGCTACCGCGCCCAGCCCTGTAATCCCTAACCTTTCAACTTAGCTCCCACTTTGGCCCACAATTCTGAATTGTCTGGTCCATGCCCAACTCTTGAAGCTCACCTGTCATCTCCCGTTTTGTCGAGGCTCTCTTTTAACATTTGCTGCTCTGTCTGCTTGACACATTCCCTGCCCAGATCTGTAGGCTCACTGTCATAACTCAAGCCTTGGCGCTCATACCAGTTCCTTGGAGGCAGCCTTCCAGACCCTCAAACTAGGGAAGCTCTGCTGACCTTTCACTCCACTCATTTTGCTGAAAGCACCTGTGTTTGGTGTCTGGTCTCTTGTTCACTGCTGTTACAGCCGTGCCTGATTGACAGCAACCTGCCCCTGACCACCCACACTCACCATCTGGCCTTGCTTGGCCATCTTCTTAATGTCTGCAATGATTTTCTTCTCCTGGGTCTCTAGTTTCTGTCGCTCGCGGTCCAGCTCCCGCATGGCACGGTTCAGGGCCCTCTGGTTCTGCCGCAGTAGCTCCTCTGGCGTCTTCCGGCGCCCGAACAACAGGTCCATGGTGGTAGAAGCTCACTGGCAGGCCTGAGACAGATGTGAGGCCCAGTTGTAGGGCAGGGGGCCCAGAAGGAGGGCAAGAAGCAGAACAGGGTCACGGGAGCCTTGCCAAACGGGAAGGGGCTGAGACTGGAGACAGGAATGAGGGGCCAAAAGGGAGCAGCTGAGAACACTGGGATTGTCCCGGGGACACATAAGGGGGACAGGTAGACCTGAAAATTATCCAAGCGCTGGCCCGAGCCCCTCCATCGCCATGCCCCCACAGAAGTTACGGCTTCCAAGTTTAGCTTTTCTCTCCAGACCCATGGGTGAGGCCCTGGAGTCCTTGATACGACTGAGAGCGGGGGGCGACGCGAGTTGGCGCACTAGTGTTTTAGGGACCGTGGGCACCGAGCACAGGGCAATTGTGGGGGTTCTGATAGAGGAGGACAGGATGGGCGGAGACCCTAAGAACCAAGAAAGGTGAATGTGGGGCTGTGAAGCTGAGGACAAAGCATTAGAATCTGGGAACCCTGAATGCTGAGGGAGACGGTTGGGAGCGCTGGGGCATCCTGTACACCGAGGACGGGATGATGCAGGTTGGGTCGCACTATACACCGAGGACAGAGTCAGTGGGCCCGGCACCAAAGCAAGGTGGTGTTGGAGACCTCGATGTTGACGACAGGGTCCCAGGGAGAAGCGAGGCACCGGACACCCGGGCGAGTAGAAGCCTCGTACGCTGCCGCCCGCACGCCCGCCCGGTATCCGCGGTCCAGCAGGGGCCACTCACCGGAGCTGGGACGGGAACCCGCTTCCGCTTCCGGGTCACGCTTCTTTCTGGGTTTCCCGACTTGCCCACCTACCAAGGCCCCTCGATCCTGTCGCCTCCGCCGCCGTTTCCGGATTAAACGACGTGACGTAACATGACCCGCCCGCACCCGGAAGGTTGGGAGGCTCCCAGGAGCGCGCGTGCGTACGTGCCCTGGAATGGGCCAGCGTTCGAGCGCATGCGCAATAGCTCCCGTTTCCTCTGCGCGTCAGTGTTTCATGTTTGAGTCCCGCCCGAGTGACCCCACCAAGCCAGTACCGGGGTGGGCGCTTTCCACCCAACCTCCACTTGAGGGCCCAGCTTGTCCGTGATACCCTGACTTCTGCCTGAGGCCTCAGATAGAGGGAGCCTCAGGAGGCTCCTCCTCCTCGGTGGGCCCACCCACACAAGAAAGGGGCAAAGCTAGAGATGGCTTGTTTCTTCCACTGTGCTGCCCTCTTGGCCAGGAACCCAGAGGTCACTGGATCCTGCCTACGCTTCTCATCCTAGAGTAGGCTTCATCCCAACCAACCCCAGGCTCTGGCCTGGTATCCCCACCAACTCGAGAGCTGCCCCAGGCACTGGGCAGCCTGTTGTAGGGTGCTGCAATGCCACCTGTGCCCAGACGTTCCACCACCCCAGCTTTGCAGGCCCTAATGGACCTCAGCTGCCCCACCCACCCCATAGAAGTAAGAAGCAGAGGCCATGCAGTAACATTCCCCTTTAATAGCCTGGTGCGACCTCCAGAGGTGGAGGGGTGGGTTGCCTGGGCCCAGCTACCCAGGCCCCTTACCCACCCACTCCACAGCCCAGAGTGGGGGCTGAACAAGCACCCAGCAGGGGGGCTAGACAAGCCAATTCATTTCCCATCGCTGAGTGGGTCGGGGGAGGCAGCGCCGACCTTAATCACATGGTGGTAAAAAAAAAAAAAAAAAAAAAAATAACTAGGGGCAAGTGGCAGGAAGGGGAGGTAAGGCCAAGGCAGGGAATTCCCCCACGGGCCGCCCCCCAAATCCCTACCGATGGCCCCCAATAAATATTTGCAGGGGATGCCAGGGCTTGTGGCCGTGGCGGGGGTGGGTATGCGCCAACCCTATTTCAGGCAGCGCTCGAAGTAGGTGGAGCCGATGTAGCCACCCCGCATGGAGCGCTGCACGTTCTGCTCAAACAGCCGCCGGTTGTTCTGCAGGACCTCTGCAGCCTCCTTGTTCAGTGGGTCCTCGGGGTTGGGCTCCTGTGGCCAGTACAGGTAGGGGGGTCAACAGGCCAGAGGGACAGAAGGCCAGTCTCCCCAGACCCAACCACCTATTCCTACTCACCAAGAAGAGATACTGCAGGCCATAAATTATGGAGTTTATCGTAAGGACTGGCTTCCAGTCCTCTCTGTGGACAGAGAGCATCAGGGTCAGAGCTTGGTGAGTGGGAGACTGCCAGAGGCCCCTCTGGTATTGGGCAGGTCAGATCCAGGGCATAGGAGAGTGAGCATGTGAGAGGCTGGGAGGGAGGGTGTGCAGCAGGCTAGGCCAGGGAGAAAACCAAGGTCAGGCCATGAGGAAGATGACTGGGAAATGAAGAAATCACAAACAACAAAGGGGTGGGAAGGGACAGAGTCTGATGTAGTGCCCACAAGACCATGAGGGGGACCTGGCAGGCAGGGCTGGGGAGGGCAGTAGAGGGCCCGTGCCTTCACCTGAGGATGTTGAGGCAGACGTTGCCCTCGAGGTCAATGTTGGGGTGATAGACCATTGTCTCACACTTCACCTTGGGGGGATCATGTGGGTACCCCTGGCCCACCTGGCTCCAGGAAAAGAAAGGAGAGATGGGTAGGTCCCTGGAAGGGCCTCAGCTGCTGCCTCCTCAGTCCAGGGAGCCATCCCTGCCTGCCTGGGACTCACCTTAAAACTGAACACAAACTTCCCACTCTTGTAGAAGCCCTGGGAGGGAAAGGGGGAGAAGAAAATTTTAGGGTTCCATCCTGTGGGGCCTGATGGGCAGAATATGTCTCCCTCCTCTCAGTGGGGACACCCTTGGTCTGCTCCTGGGAATTCAGCCATATGCACCCTCACCTCATCAGGACAGATGACCAGCTTGAAGTTGAGGAGGTCGTCTGGATCTGAGAAGCTGATATCACACGTCTTGGGCAGGTTCAGCTCGTTTATGTCTGGGTTTGGGCAGCAGAGAGTGGGGGTCAGAAAGAGGGAGGGGAAGAGAGAGAGAGAGGGAGCCAGCAGGACACTTAGGGCAGGTGTTTGTTAGCAGAACCCCCATGGTCTCCTCCTAGACCCCTAGGCCTCTGTCCTGGGCTGTGCTCCACACCTCCAGCCCTCTCCCTGTTCCCTAGCTTGGCTCTTGTGGATACACATCATACCCCAAACATGCATGTTTAGTTGTGTATGCGTGTCTCAACTCCTGGCCCAGGGTAACCCCCAACTTTTCTGTATCCACAGCTCCCAAATGCCCCCACTCCCAAACATCCTCTGACTGCCCTAAACTCCAGGCTCCCCATCCATGACCTCCACTCTCCAGTATCTACCTGTTCACCCAAACTCAAAGATCCTGCCCACCCCCACCAACCCTCAGTCCTCACTGTCCTTCCTCTTCTCTGTCTCTCAGACCCAGCTTCCCATCTGACCCCCACAATCTCAAGTCCCCAACCCCCACCACCCTGCCCCACCTCCTTTGACTCTGAGGTTCACAGCACAATAGCCTAAATTCCCCCTCACCCCTGTCTCCAATCCCTGGTACTCACTAACCTTCCTTCCTCCACCTGTTACCCCAAAGCCCAAATCCAAATTGCTGTGACTCTCAGGTAGGCCCACGAGTCCCTAATCCTCCAACTTACTTTACCCGTTTGACTCTGAGATTCCCAGAGACCCCAGCATAATACACTAAATCCTCTCCCACTCATATCCCCAACCTTTAGCCTCTACTATCCGTCTCTTTTTCGCCTGTCACCCCAAACCCAAGTTCCCGTCTAACCCCCATACTCTCCAGTCCCCAGCTCCTCCACTCCACTGCCTGACTCTGAGATTCCGAGTCCCTAGTACCAGACGCCAGGCCTTCCTAATATCCTAAACCACCACATACCGGGCCCCATCTCTGACCCCCGCCCCGTGACTGCATGATCCCAACCCTCAAGACCTGAACTCCGACCCCCCCTCGCGACTCGGGGCCCTCCACCTCTGACCCTCGGCAACAGCATTACCCCCTCCTGACTCTCAACATCACCCTGCCTCAGGCCCTGACCTCCGACCTCCAGCTCCAACCCCATCCCCTGACCCCCTACCCTTCTGGATCCGCAGCTGCGCCGCCGACGCCTTCTTGCTGCTGCCCTTGGTGCCGCCCGCCGACTCCTCCTCCTTCTTCTGCTGCTTCAGCGAGAACAGCTTGATCATCCTGCCGCCGCCGCCGCCGCTGCCGCCGCCGCGGGGCCCGGGACCCCGGCCACCCGGCCCCCCGCCGCCGCCCGCGTCGCCTCCGCTCCTCGGACCCGCCGCTGCGGCCTCCTGCGCTGCTGCCGCCACCCGCCCGGCCTGCCGCGCCGCTCCGCGCCCACCGCGCGGCCCGCCTCGGCTCCCGTAGTCCGGCCCCGGCCTGGCCCAGAGCCTCGGGCTCGCTCGGCAGCTCTCGGCCAAATTCGGCTGTTCTCGGGCCTGCCCGGCCCCGCCCCCACTGCCCCGGGCCGCTCCTTCCTTGCCCTCGCCCACTCTGGTCTCAGGCCCCGCTGCAGCTGCGGACTCGGGGCTCCCCGGACCGTGCCGTTTGCCGCTCAGCTGATCCCTCCGCGAAGGGGCTGCGGCTAGGGGTGGAAGGAGGACGCGGCAGCCGCGGTGACGGCGGGTGGGTATTGGAGGATCGTCTTCCGCGGCAGCAGCGGCTTTAGCGCGGAGGTCTGCAACGGCCTCGGGCGCCCCGCGGCTTCGGATATTTCCGCCGCCTGCCCGCTTTGGCTCTTCCCGCCCGGCCTGCGTTGTGCGCCTGCGCAGCCGCCGCAAACCCGCGTTGCTCAGCGATGGAGTTTGGGGTTCGGCCTCCTTCGGCTGGACTCGGGTATTTCCGTTCATGGAGATGACGCTTCGGCGGCCCTGCGGGTCACTTCCGGCGACTCTCGCGGGGCCGGGCAGGAAGCGGGGTTAGCCGCCATCTTTTAGTGGGGCAGACACGGGCCACTTTGCTCGCGGTCATTTCATCCTGTGTTGTGTATGTGCAGAGCGCGGCGTGGGTGGTCGTCTCCGCTGCTGCCGCCACCCACACGGCCTGCCTTTGACCCCATAGGTCACAGACAAGGCAGGGTGATCGCGGCAAGACCCTGAGTGAGACTAGAGGCGTTACCCAGAGGGTGCGAGGTCGAGCACCCTCACTGTCCTATCGCAAACCCAAAGATCCCCGTTCCTGGAGATTCTGATTGAGGTAAACTAACAAAACATGTATTGTGCCAGAGAGTGGTAAGCACTATGGAGGGTTACAGTGGTGTAGGGGAAGACCTGTCGGGGTGGACACTTGGGGAACGTGACGTGCGGGCGGAGCGTGGGCGCTATTGGCATGGGCCCCGAGTGCCAGCGGAGACGCACTGGAGTCTCTGCGCTTCCCCTGCTAGCTGGAAAAGGGGATGGAGGCGGGGTCAACTTCCCATCCAATCACAGCTCAGCGTGCCTCGGAGGGCGGGAGGAAACAGAACTCTGCGGGTCTGCGACTTCCGGCCGTCACCACGGAAACTACCGGCCCCGTGAGCGCGTGGTGTGGTGGCCTTTCCCTGCGGAGGGCCCCAGGCGCCACTCCTCTGATTCTGCAGATCCTCCCCCAGGAGTGGCCTCTGGCCAAGGCTGGCTTGTCTGCTTCCCCCGAGGCCAGGCCCCTAGTCTTGGGGGTTAGGGTGACTTGAAGCAGCAGGGGGAAGTCCGGCTGCACCCCGAAAGAAGCTTGGACACACAAACTTCAAGTCTCTGTTACTGGAAATGCCCAGGCCAAGACTAGCCTGACACGTGCCCAGAGCGAGACCTTCAGTGGGGTTTAAGGCTCAAGCTGTACCCTGCTGCACACAGACCACTTCTTTGAAACTGCCTTTCACCCTGTGTTACCTGCACCCAAGTCATCCATTGGAGGGGTGGGGGAGAGGGGCTGTGTGAAGGACCTGGACAATGCGATGGAAGGGGAAGATGGCTAGGGCAAAATAGTCAATGGCACTGGGTCCTGGAGATGCTGCCCTGAAGCCTGCTGTATGCTGAACTTGCGCTCTCAGCGTCTGTCCACTTTCACCTAAGCTGCGTTTCCACTGGTTTGCTGCTGGATCTACTCCTGACTGAATCCTTCCAATGTGCCCGGGGCCAGGGTGGGAGAAGTCTTCAGCTCTAGTGATGGGAATGATCAGCACAGGGCAGGGAAACTGGCCCAGGGCCTGCAGTCTTTGCTTCTCAGACTGGTTGGGGATCCATCTGCAGGGTCCTACACCCTCATCACCTGCTGCTTGTAAACATGAGAACAGGAAAGTCCCGAAAAATCTGAATTTCCAGGTAAAATCCTCCAGTTTTAAAACCAGGAAATGGTTTCCTAGGTGTAAAGGAGTTTTACAAAGACATCCTGAGGCAGAATCTGGATCACCAGGTGTCAGTTTGCTCCTGCTGGATCACATGATCTTGGTTGGCTAGGGAGAATCTGGCCTGTCTGGGTCCTCTCTTGGGGTCTGACTTGGCCCATGGCCCAGGGGACAGCCATGACGGTGTGGAGGGGAGCATGCAGGTTTCAGGCATCAAGTTTAGGCACAGTACCACCCACAAACCTGGGGGTTGGCAGATCCAAGTTGGATCCTTGGCTCCCAGCTGTACGAAGTGCTGTGATCCCACTGGTTCCCTTTGTTCCTCTTGTACTAAGGGTGAGATGCTGAATCTCCCCGTGAGTACAGCTCTTCAGCAGGTACTCCCACTGATAGGTGGATATAGGTAGAAAGCCTTGGCTGCTCATGACCACTTCAGGGAGTAGGGTGCTGTTAGGGTAAGGGTGACTGGACAGCTGAGCTAGGGTGGGAGAGGTAGTATCATGGGAATCATCAGCGCTGACTTGGAGCAAGGAGGACTGGTGGGCTCAGGAGGCTGGTAACCTCTCTGAGGATTGAGTGTTCTCCCAACCCTTGGAGGCCCTGGTCTCAGTGTCAAGGGAAAATCCTATGGGATGTCATTGCCAGACAAGGGCTGGGCTCCAGATCTGCCCACGTAGGCATCACTGTGCAGGGCAGAGACTACAAACACCCCTCTTCACCTGCAGCTGTGTTAGGGGCAGGCCGGAACAGGGGTTGGAAAGGGAGAAAAGACTACGGCAGCAGCATCTCTTCCCCCTGGCAACAGCAGGTCCTTCCAGGAGCAACAGTTTTTACATACCTCCCAGAACCAGGCTCACTGGGCCCCTTGGAGACACCCACACCAGTGCCCCCTCCTCAGGAGTCTCCTACGCCTTTGGGGCACCCTCCTGAGAACAGAGACCTCCAGACCAGCTGAGCAGTACCCCCTCAGGCCCACAGGGCTTTCCTGCCAGCTAAGAGACCCCAGGACCGGCTCAGCAGTGCCCCCTTCTCAGGGGACTGAGTTTCAGCTCCATGGGAAACTCACTGGAGCTTGTAAGTTGCAATGCTTCCCTTTGTTCCTCTAGGCCTAAGGGTCTAGCTGCTTCCTGCAGGAACTTTCCCATTTCTAAGCTAGATTGACTTAACCTTCTCAGTCCCCCATTAGTCACCTAACACCTAGTTAGCTGTGCTCTGTCTCTTGACCCTGATTGATCAGGCATGGCACCATGCTACACACATATGGACTCCTGGTAGATGCTCAGAGAACATTTCTTCCTCTCTGGGTTTGGGAAACCGAGGTCCATTGCCCAGGGAGAGCTGAGGCTGGACTGCCCAGGGCAGTTCTGCCCCACCTGCTGCTGGTCCATTCCCTCGGTGTAAACCGGAAGCTTGGTATAGCGGCGGTCCCACACGCGGGGTAGGTGATGCTAGGAGCCACCTCTGTCAGGGTGAAGAGGGGTGTTGTGGAGAGGAACTCGCACAGGAACCATGTGGTTGCAGAGGGAGCACACCAGCCCAGCACTGTGGGGGTTGGAGGGTGAGAAGTGAAGGACGCACAGGTGGGGAGGCACTGAGTGGGTGGAGACCCAGTTTCCATCTACTGTTTATTGGACACCTACAGTGGCCAAGCCCTGGGCGGACCTGCTTATACTTATGTAATCGCCAGCCTCACAACAACCAGGTGAGGTAGGTGTTCTGACCAGGGCAGAGACTGCGTCCCGACTGGAGCTACTCGGCGCTGTGGATGCGCTGGTGCTGAATGAGCTTGGTGCTCTGGTGGAAGCGGCGGCCACAGTCCTGGCAGGCGAAGGGCTTCTCTCGTCGGTGGGTGCGCAGATGCTGCGTGAGTGTGGGCCGCTGGCGGAAGGCCTTGCCACACTCAGGGCATGCATAGGGCCGTTCGCCGGTGTGGATGCGCCGGTGTTGGGTGAGGTTGGCGTGCTGCCGAAAGCTCTGGCCGCACTCGGGGCAGGCGAAGGGCCGTTCGCCCGTGTGGATGCGCTGGTGCTCTGTGAGCCGCGAGACCTGCGTGAAGCCCAGGCCGCACTCGCCGCAGTGGTAGGGCTTCTCGCCCGTGTGTGTCCTCTGATGACGCGTGAGCTTGAGGCGCTGGCTGAAGCGCTGGCCACACTCGGGGCAGGCAAAGGGTTTCTCGCCTGTGTGTACGCGGAGGTGCTGCGTGAGCGTGGGCCGCTGGCGGAAGGCCTTGCCACACTCGGCGCAGGCGAAGGGTCGCTCCCCGGTGTGGATGCGCCTGTGCTGCGTGAGGTTGGAGCGCTGCCGGAAGCTCTGGCCGCACTCGGCACAGGCGAACGGCCGCTCGCCACTGTGCACGCGCCGGTGCTGCAGCAGCACTGAGCGGCGGCCGAAGCGCTCGCCGCACTCGACGCAGCCGAAGGACTTATCGCCCGTGTGTACTGCCTGGTGCTCCAGTAGCACGGAGCGCCGCGCGAAGCTCTCGCGGCACTCGCTGCACGGAAAGGGGCCGGGAGGCTCGGGCGCACCAGGAGGGGCCGAGGGCGTAGCGCCAGGGCCCGGAGGATCGCCGTGGATCCGCTGGTGCTGCAGCAAGTTGGAGCGCTGCCGGAAGCTCTGGCCGCACTCAGCGCAACGGAAAGGCTGTTCGCCCGTGTGCACTCTCCGATGCTCTTCCAGGCGCGCGCTGCGCACGAACCCCTGGCCACAGTCGCCGCACACAAACGGCCGCTCCTCGGTGTGCGTAAGCTGGTGGCGCAGCAGGTGCGAGCTGCGGCTGAAGCTGCGGCCGCACTCGCTGCACATGAATGGTCGCTCACCCGTGTGGATCTTCTGGTGCCTCAGCAGGTTGCTGCGTTGGCTGAACACCTTACCACACACGTCGCAACGGCCGCCCCTAACCACCCCACCCCCGGTGCTGGGGCGGCCCCGGCTCCGGCCCCTGGGGGAGCGCCAGCGGGTGGTGACCAGGGCAGGGCCCACACCATGGCAGGGATCCTCCTCCGTGGGGTCCTGCTCACTCCTCAGATCGCTGGGGAGCACAAGCGCATGCGCAAAGCCACCTTCGCGGGAGGGTGATTGGATCTGGCCCGAAAGGCCAGCCATGCCGAGGTCCCAGGGGACGTGGAGGTGAGGGCTTACACTACCTGGACCTGCGGAGACGCTGTTCAGCTGCAGCGCAAACCCTGTGTGCACAAGGGGACCATTCATTCATGACAAAAATGCCCACCGTGCCCGGACCCACGTCAGCCCTGGGGACACAGTGTGAACTACAGGGACCTGAAACTGACCAATGAGGCAGACGGAGGTGACAAAGGCAGGGGTAGGGATTCCATCTGTACAGCCTTCCCTGATGAGGTGATAATGAGACAGAACCCAGTGCAAGGAGGAAGACTGGGCTTTGTGAAAAAGCTTTCCAGGTCTGATTTAAGTTGGAAAAAATCATTTTTGGAAGGGCTGTAGGGCAAGCGTGGGGGCACTGTCTAGGTGGAAAATGATGGTCACTGCAAATGCAGGGAAGTGAGTGGGTCTCGAAGGCTGGAGGTAGAGCCAACAACAGTAAGAGGGTGCGAGCTCCTGGATGGTGGTCTAGGGTTTGGATGTGCCTTGCTTGTGATGTCTGTGGGGGCATCTGAGGAACACAGATTTCGTGCAGGCTGTGGGGAAACCTGAGCAAGGGCTCTGGGGCATACACATGGCACACAACCCAGGGCCTGCTAGTGATCAACACAGGGGTGGGTGTCTACAGAGGAGAGAAGTCGGTCCCAGCCACACTGTGAGCACTCTAGCGTCTGACGCTGGGAGAAGGACGAGGTATCAGCAACTGCAACTGAGAATCAGGGCCTGGAGAGGGTGGAAAACCTGGAGGAGGTTAAATTAAGAAGACTGAGAGAGCAGTGAGGGCTTTTAGTGGGTGAGAGAAAATCCATAAGCCGCCAAAGAAAAGTCAGATAATTAGAATACATCAAAGGAAATCAGCAAAAACCACATCAGAGTCAAAAGACAAATGGCTAAAAAATAAAAAAAAATTAAATTAAAAAAAGGGCAAATGGCAAACTAATAAACTCTCCACAGGCAAAGGGCTAACTAACCTCCTGAGTAAACAGCTACAATAAATCAATAAGAAAGATCAATAACCTCATAGACACACGGGCAAAGGATGTGAACAAGACATGAAATGTAAGTAATGCTTATATCCCATAAAATATACTCCATCTCCTCCTAGTAAGAAAAATGCACCCTAGGGCTGAAATCATCTGCCATTTCCACACCCCGACTGCAGGGACCCAAGTGTTCCTATGTATTGCTGGTGAGCATAAATGGGAAGACAGTGTGGCAAAATCCATCAAAACAGCAAATATCCCACACTTTGATCAAGTAATTCCATTTTTAGGTACTTCTTCAACAGTTGTGCTCCTCCTTGTACTAAAGATTACAGGTGTGAGTCACTGCGCCCAGCCCATGTATGTTTTATAGAAGAGGAATGGGGCTGGGCGCGGTGGCTTACGCCTGTAATCCCAGCACTTTGGGAGGCGGAGGCGGGCGGATCACGAGGTCAGGAGATGGAGACCATCCTGGCTGACACGTGAAATCCCGTCTCTACTAAAAATACAAAAAACTAGCCGGGCGAGGTGGCGGGCGCCTGTAGTCCCAGCTACACGGGAGGCTGAGGCGGGAGAATGGCGTGAACCCGGGAGGCGGAGCTTGCAGTGGGCCGAGATGGCGCCACTGCACTCCAGCCTGGGCGACAGAGGGAGACTCAAAAAAAAAAAAAAAAAAAAAAAAAAAAAAAAAAAAGAAGAGGAATGGGCCAGGCGCAGTGGCTCACGCCTGTGATCCCAGCACTTTGGGAGGCCAAGGTGGGTGGATCGCCTGAGGTCGGGAGTTCGAGACCAGCCTGACCAACATGGAGAAACCCCGTCTCTATTGAAAAAAATACAAAATTAGCCAGGTGTGGTGGTGCATGACTGTAATCCCAGCTACTTGGGAGGCTAAGGCAGGAGAATTGCTTGAACTGGGAGGCAGAGGTTGCGGTGAGCCGAGATTGTGCCATTGCACTCCAGCCTGGGCAGCAAGAGCGAAACTCCATCTTAAAAAAAAGGAATGAATCTGTGTCTGTAAATGTCTTTGCTTCTGTATGTACAGAATCTTTTTAGAAAGACACATAAGAAACAAGCAATGTTGGCTGCTGGAGAGTAGGACTGTGTGGCACAGGCAAGGAAGGGGCATTCCACTGTATACTGTCTTGTGCCTTTTGAAATCCTAACATATGAATGTATTAGCTATTCAGAATGTTCTGAAGAAGACATAAAAAAAGACCTCTCTGAGCCAGGTGTGGTGGCTTAAACCTATAATCGCAGCTACTTGGAAAGCTGAAGCAGGAGGATCACTTGAGCTCAGGAGTTTGAGAACAGCCTGGGCAAAATAGCAAAACCCCGTCTCTTTAAATAAAGCAAGACTCCATTTCATAAATAAATAGATAAACCTCTCTTGCTGCAAAGAAAAGGCACAGTTTTATTCCCAAGATTCCTTTTCTTTTTTTGAGACTGGGTCTCACCCCCATTGCCCAGACTGGTGTGCAGTGGCACGATCTCAGTTCACTGCAGCCTTGACTTCCCTGGCTTGGGTGATTCTCCCACCTCAGCCTCCCAAGTAGCTGGGGCTACAGGTACGCGCCACCATGCCACGCTAGTTTTTTGTATTATTTTTTAGTAGAGATGGGGTTTTGCCATGTTGCCCAGGATGGTCTTGAACTCTTGGACTCAAACAATCCACCTGCCTCGGCCTCCCAAAGTGCTGGGAGTACAGGCATGAGAGACTGCACCTGGCTAAGAAGATTCTACAAACTCAGGAGTTGGAGGCACCTGGTACCTCTGGCCATGTAGGTGAATGGGCAGGGCACCAGCCAGGCTGGAGAGGCTGTTTCAGAAGCAGATGCTGGGCAGGGCTGCTGCTGTGGGCTCTGTCCGCACAGAATTCTGAGCCAACAGTATGTACTGCCATGATTGACTTCTGGATTTCTTCTCCCATCCTGGCAGAAGGCTATGTTAAGGGTGAGAAACCATACTGAGAAAGTCAGGGTTGTTAGGTAAACAGTCCCATTGGACGCTGAGATGTCAATCTCTCTCCCAAGGATGCTGACAGGAGGCTGAAGGTACCTTCCTGTAGGATTCAGACGATGGAATGAAACATGCTTACAGTGGAGAGTGCCCCCAAACTGGCCTAGCCACATTGCCCTATGGATCTGTTTGCAGTATGTACTCATACTCAAGCTGTTTGCTCACATTCCCTAAGAAAAGGGTCTCCTTGGGGAGTGGGGTTCCCCCATGTCCCTTCCAGCCAGTAATCCCCACATCTACCTGCTCAGAGCTGTCAGCCAGATTTGTGTTGCCCCTCTCTTGCATATAAGCCAACAACTAGGAAAGAATAGAGACCACACTGTTTTTTAAAAAAGTTACTGCTGTTCTCAGAGAAATAAGGATAGACATTACAAGTGAAAGAACAGGAGGCAGCTAAAAAGATGAACATTCAGAGAATGAAAACACTCTTGGAAATTAAAAATATGCTAGAAGAGGCCAGATGAAGTAGCTCATGCCTGTAATCCCAGCACTCTGGGAGGCTGAGGTGAGACAATCACTTGAGGCCAGGAATTTAAGACCAGCCCTGGAAACATAGTGAGAACCTGTTTCTACAAAAAAATAAAAAAATTAAAAATGAGGCAAGTACAGTGACACATGCCTGCAGTCCCAGCTACTTGGGAGGCTGAGGCAAGAGGATCACTTGAACCCAGGAGTTCGAGGTTACAGTGAGTTATGATGGCACCACTGTGCTCTAGTCTGTGTGAAAGAGTAGACCCTAAAAAAAAAAAAAAAAGCTACCAGAAATGAAAATGTTAAGAAGGTCTGAAAGATAGAAGTGAGGAAATTTCCTGGGAAATAGAGTAGAAAGACGAAGGAATGGAAAATTGGAGTGAAAAGAACATAAAAGGATTAATCCTAGAGGCCAACAGCCAAGTAACAGGCATCCCAGAAACAGGGAACAGAACAATAGAATGGAAGGAAATAAACATTTCAAGGCAGTTTCTCAGAACTGAGAGATGTGAATTTCAAACTGAAAAGGCTCACCAACAATAGTAATCAAAAAGGTTTGTGACTGTATTAATAAAAAGAATTCTTCCAGCCAAACTTCAATCTAATGTTGAGGGTTAGACGATGTGTTTCAGATATGGGACATCTCAGAATTTTATCTCCTACACCAGAACACCCAGAAAGCTCCACCAAAACAAAGGTGTGAACTAAGAAAGAGGAGACCCTGGGTCTCAGGAACAGGAAGGAACAGAACAGAAGATGGGGTGTGGGGGAACCTGGATGATGCCAGACAAAGGTGGTGGCTAAGAGGTAGATGGCAGGGGGCCTCTGGCCTGTAATGCCCGCATGATTGGGCAGGATTCCTATCCTGTGTCAAGGTCCCTCCTGCCCACCTGCTCTGTCTACTAACCTGCTGTCCTTGTCAGGTCCCAACCCTACCTGTCCTGATGCCTGATCAGCAGGATGCAAGCCCAGGAGGCCATCCAAGATACCAGGACTGGGAGAGAATATAGGTACGGGGAATACAGGCCCTACTTGCAAAAGATTTTACTGGGGTGGGGAGTTTCTAGAAAGTAGAGGGACTGTGGGATCAGTGGTAGTGGTGGGTGGCTTTTTTTGAGGACAGAAGATGCTAGAGGAGGTTGAACCTTACATGGGATGATCTAGGGAACGGGGAAACTTGGAGATACTGGAGTGAGAGGGCTGCCTGCATAGGGCGAGGAGTGGGGTCAGCGGAGATCGTGCTGTCCATGCAGAGGGCCTAGTCCCACCACACCCCATCTCACTTACCTGGGGAGAAGATGTCCCCAGCTTCCTCATGCCACAGGGCCCTGGGGTGCTCCCTCCATGGGGGACCCTCAGGCCCAGTGTTACTGTGGGGAAAGTCCTGGTCCAGCACTGTCCCACATCCCTGAAATCACAGTGGTCACTGCTCATCTGTGCCTGGCTGGGCTCAGGGAGCAACCCCCAGGGAAAGGAGGAGAACATGGACCTGGGCAGGACTTACCTGGGCCTCCTCAGGCAGGAGGGTGGGTACAGACTCCTGGGTGGCAGCTAGAGGCCCAGACTCCAGGAAATCTAGAGAGGAAAACTGAGATCAGGCAGCCTGAGCGAGTTTCCACCCCACTGCCCTTCTTAGTGGTGTGCCAGGTGCTGGGATGCAGAGAGGTGGGATTCCTGGTTGTGGGCTTGGGTTGGGGAGGGCGGTGCAGGGTAGCTGAGGGCCCAGCTTAGGGGCTGGGTGAAGCAGAGTACCCTGGAAGGCCAGGGGTTGAGCTGCAGTGGGATGAGATGGGCTTAGGTCTGTGCCCCTGTAGCCTTACGTGAACCATGCGGCAAGATGGTCAGCGGGTATCAGAGGTATTGTACAGGGGTCCACACAGGAATGGCAGGGTGTGAGCAGCTAGTTCAGGTGCCCTGCCTGGGAGGTGAAAGGGGTCATACCCCTAACACTACGAGGTCATCCCTCAGCAGCTCCTAATTATACCAAGGCCTACTGTCTGTTCCCCAGTGAAAAGCAGATATTGCCTAACGGATCTCCTTGGGGACTGAACACCACATGCCATCAGTGCTGGGAAACCCCAACAGCCTGCTCCATGCCAGGGGGTTCATGGGTACAGGGCTGTGGCAGTCAGGCTTGGTTTGTGAGGGGTAGTGACAGTGCTGGCTGCAGTGGAGGGGAGACATTACTGGGTGGAATGTGGAGGCTACTGGCACATGGAAACCATTCCATTTATGACAAACCTGGCCCAGTGGACTTCAGACTGACTGCTCAGGCCAGGCTCCCTGGCCCACCCAACCAGACCTTAGGTGCTGCCCACACTGCATGCTCTCACCTGAGTCCTCTGTAACCTCTGGTTCCTCTTTCACCTGCAGGCCCAGTGGTGCTTCCTGCATAGTCCTAGGAGGTGTCTTGGGCACAGGCTCTGGAGTTGGAGGCTCAGTTTGAGGTAGGGGCTGGAAACTGGAGGGCTCCATCTTCTCTGATAGGACCTCCTGGCCCTGCACCTGGACTGTGACCTGGGGAGATGCCCCCACCATCAGAGGTCCTACCAGAGAGTAAGGCTGGCCGCAAATCTCACTGTAGGATCCCAGGGGCCCGCCTTGTAAATACCTACTGACTAGGTCCTCCAAGGACCCACATCCCCTAGTCCCTGAGCAAAGAACGAAGGGACCACCTGCAGTCCCTCCCCTGCTGTGACACCCAGACCCTTGCAGTACCTTCCCCATATCCCCCTAGCCTGCAGCTCCTATGTCCATGTGACTGCAGGTGATGCAGGAATGGGCTGCAGAGTCTGGCCCTGGAATCCCTTTGCCCTGGGCAGCCTTGCACAGGGTCTCTGTTGCAGGTGGCCACTTCTGTACCACAAGGGAGAATGTGTGTCTGGCAAAGCATGGTGCTACCCAGGGTGAGGCAGAGCTGGATGATGCTCCAGTCCTGAACCCCATTCATGGTCACTCACTCACCCATCTCCGGGGTTCGCCCGGCTCCCGGCGCAGCCCATCTACTAGGGCAGCAGCCTCCTCGGGGCTGCCTGGCCGCTGCCCCTGCATACGGGCCTGGATCTCAGGGGGCAGTGCGCCCAGGAACTGCTCCAGCACCAACAGCTCCAGCATTTGCTCCTTGGAGCGTACCTCTGGACGCAGCCACTGGCGACACAGCTCTCGGAGCTGGGCCAGGGCCTCTTGGGGCCCTGTGGCCTCCTCATAGCGGAAGCACCGGAAACGCAGGCGTGCAGCTTCAGGGCCTGGGTCCCATAGGGCAGCCTCACCCTCCTCCTCAGAGTCCTCTAGCTTCACCATGACAGGCCCCTCCTCTTCTGGGGGTGCTCGGTCTGGGGAGCCCAGCACCGCAGGCCTCATAGAGGGTACCAGGTCAGGTATCTGAGGCCAGTGTCTGCCCCTGGTGAAGAAATAGGATGAGGCTGTTGCAACAGGAGTAGACAGTGAATGCTTCACTACCTAGTCTATCCTGTACTGTTTGATCCTCAGACCTACCCCATGTGGAAGACAGATGAGGAAAGCAGCAAAGAAAGGCCATTCACACCCCACAGACTTACGCAGCTGGAAGCCCTCCCTTAGCCACCTGTATCCCTGGTCTTCACTTGGGCCTGTGCAAAGTCTCTGATAGTCTCCCTGCTCCAAACACAGGCTTTTTTCTTTTTTTTTCCTTTGTGACAGGGTGTCACTCTGTCGCCCAGGCTGAAGTGCTGTGGTGAGATCATGCGTCACTGCAGCCTTGACCTCCCAGGCTCCAGAGATCATCCCACCTCAGCCTCCCAAGTAGCTGAGACAACAGGTGTGTGCCACGACATCCGGCTAATTTCTTAATTTTTCTGTATGGATGGGATCTTACTATGTTGGCCAGGCTGTTCTTGAACTCCTGGGCTCAAGCAGATGATCCTCTTGCCCTGACCTCCCAAAGTGCTGGGCCTTACAGGTTTGTTCCACCATGCTGGCCCACAGGCTGTTTTTTAGGTCTAGAAGACACTTCTCTCCCCTGTATCCTTTCCTTCTTCTACATGTGCAACCTCATTCCTGCGCTGCAGCTCTCTCTTTTACCAGGTGGATGGCATCTATACACCTACAGCCTGGGCATCAGCATCACTGATGGCATCTCCCCCCACCCAACACCAGCCCTCACTTCACCTTCTACTCTCTCATTTACTTAGATTTGGCTCCTCACTTGGGCCTCACCATCATTCCCCTCCCAGCCTGGAAGCCTCGCTCCACCTAATCCTTCATGTCAACCTGTGCAGTCACCTGTATGGCTCAGCCCCAAGGCAGCACCCTCTCTCCCTACTCAGTCTCATCTTCTGAGCCCAACATCACACTACACAATGCCCCATCTCAGCTTCATGATTTAGGTGGGGTTGGAAGAGGATGGGGGAGCTTCGCAAGGGGTGGGGGTGGGGGTCGGCAAAGGCTCCAAGACCGCTGGAATAGGAGCCTCCAAGGAAGTCCCGAGATTCTGATTCCGCCCATCTTCAGGTCACTGTGCCTTTGAGAACTTGTTTCCGCATCTGCAAGTGGGGCTGACCTCCCTCCTTGCGCTGTTCCTTCTGCAGCTGCGGCTTTGTGAAGGAATCTGCGTTTATGAAGGGGATGGCGCCGCAGAATCATCCCCCCGTGGGTGGCATTGATTTCGAGGGTCGCCTGATCCTGGGGGCCAAGCCTCCACTCTTCAAGGTGCCAAGTCAACCTGAAACCCTGGGAGAAACTTGGGTCATAGCCAAGATGGTAGGTACCTACGGAGGGTTCCGAAATACACTTCCCAGAAGTCCAGGCGGCAACTTCCGCTCCAGCGTGCCAAGGTAGGTCGTGAAGACGCCTAGGCAGCCGGGGGCGGGGCTCCCAAAGCCTGTCGTCGTGGCAACCAGTAGTGATTGACAAGCCTCTCGCTCTAGCCCTGGGCGCTCCCGTAAGGAGTGCACGGATTCCTTCCCTGCGCTCCCGGTCTCGCTGGGCAGCCGGAATCCCTGAGTCTGCAGCCACCACCCCGGTCCCCACCCTAGCCCTCCCGGTTAAGAGGACCCCCGCCCTCACCTCGGCGCTCAGCGAGCCGCTCCGCGCTCCTGAGCACGCGCAGTCTTCGACTTTCCCACCCGCTGGACTACGTCTCCCAGGATGCTCCGCGCACCAGCTCCAGCGCCTCCTTGCCCTTCCCCTACCCTCGCCTCGGTTTCTACACCCTCTCCTCCCGTCCCCTAGCGGTGGTCGCAATCATCAGGTCACGCTCCTGGCCGCTTCTTCCCATGCTCCCCGCCTCGAATCCGTGCGTCGACATGCGCAAGCCTCTCGGGGAAAACAGACTGCAGTACCGCCTTCCAGATCGCGCATGCCCCCCACCACATTTTCCGCAATTCTCTACGGGCCTTCCTGAGATTAGCAGGGTCCTGCACCAATCACGGCCGTCATTGGAACGCCGTTGGCGCCCCACCGCGTCTCCATGGCAACTCCCTGCAGGAAGGGGCCTCTGCTACTTCCTAGGCCGCAAAATGGAGAAAGGCTTGGCCCGATGCTTTCCGGGAGATGTAGTCGGCAGGGTCCTTCGTGTGCACGTGCGTGCGCGGCGCGATTACGTTCCTCTGTGATCATGGGCGAGGGGCGGGCCCTGAACGTCTCCATGGTAACCTGGGGACCCGACCCGACATCGCCTGGGCAAGCCGGAGACGTGGCGGGCGTTGGAAATGCAATGGGACATGTGGGATGAGGAGGTGGGGAGGGGTACTGGGTCAGAGAGATGCCGATCGATAGAAACAGCGAGGAAAGACAGAGAGACCAGAGACTCAAGGGCAAGGAGAGACGAAGGACAGGCGGGAGGAAGAGAGACAGAGACAGACCCACAGACTGGGAGGGCCGGAGACTCGACGCGAGGAGAGACAGTGAAAATAAGTGAACAAACATAGAAACACGGGTCCAAGTTATAAGAGGGCTGAGTGGATCAGAGGGTTAGGACCGGGCAAACTGGTGTCAGAACAGTTAGCAAGAGAGAGGCAGATCAGAAAGGGATGCAGATGAAAGACACACAAAGAAACGCAGAATGGGTTCACAGAGACAAGAAATGCAGATATCCAGACTCACGAGGCAGACAAGAAGGGAGAGGGACAGAGACAAGAAGGGAGAAAAGGGATAGATATTAGAGATACAGTAAGATGGACTGACAGTTTTCAAAGACCTAGAGAAAGATGACAGCACCAAGAGAGGGAGAATCAGAAGTAGAACTGTTAGGAAAACTTAGGAGTCCAGATGCTGTCCAGTTAGATGCTACCTTGTAAAGGCTGATAGGTTGCAAATGCTTTTTTTTTTTTTTGAGACAGAGTCTCGCTTAGTCGCCCAGACTGGAGTGCAGTGGCGCGATCTCTGCTCACTGCAAGCTCCGCCTCCCGGGTTCACGCCATTCTCCTGCCTCAGCCTCCCGAGTAGCTGGGACTACAGGCGCCCGCCGCCTCGCCCGGCTAAGTTTTTGCATTTTTTAGTAGAGACGGGGTTTCACAGTGTTAGCCAGGATGGTCTCGATCTCCTGACCTTGTGATCCGCCCGCCTCGGCCTCCCAAAGTGCTGGGATTACAAGCGTGAGCCACCGCGCCCGGCCGCTTTCTGCCCATTGTATCGCTTTGTAGCCCACTAAGCAGTTTTGTATCCGACTTCGTACTTTTATTTCTTTTTTTTTGTTTTGTTTTTTGACGGAGCCTCGCTGTCGCCAGATCTCGGCTTACTGCAACTCCACCTCCCGGGTTCAAGTGATTCTCCTGCCTCAGCCTCCCGAGTAGCTGGGACTACGGGCGCGCACCACTACACCCAGCTAATTTTTGTATTTTTAGTAGAGACGGGATGGCATCATGTTGGCCAGGATGGTCTCGATCTCTTGACCTCGTAATCCGCCCGCCTCGGCCTCCCAAAGTGCTGGGATTACAGGAGTGAGCCACCGCGCCCCGCCGACTTTCTTTTTTTTTTTTTTTGGCAGTCCCACTCTGTCGCCCAGGCTGGAGTGCAGTGGTGCAATCTCGGCTCACTGCAACCTCCCTCTCCCAGGTTCAAGCGATTCTCCTGCCTCAGCCTCCCGAGTAGCTGGGACTACAGGCTGCTCCACCACACCCGGCTGATTTTTGTACTTTTAGTAGAGATGGGGTTTTACCATGTTGGCCAGACTGGTCTAGAACTCCAGACCTCGGGTGATCCGCCTGCCTCGGCCTCCCAAATTGCTGGAATTACAGGTGTGAGCCACCGCGGCCGGCCAGTGTTCATTCTTTCTTTCCTATCTTCCTAGAATCATCTTGCTGGTTCCCTCAGTACGATAAATAAATCTTTGACACATGCTCACTGAGAGTCATGTTTTTAACCGTTTTGAAATTATATTTGGCAGTCTGAAGGGAACCTGTTCTCCGGGCTAGGGGACAAACAGGGAAAAAGAAAATAGTGACACATACCCAGGAAAGGGAGGAAGGGAGGGTGATGTAAGACAAAGACATTAGGCGGCGAGAAAGTCAGCCTTTGGTCCGAAACAGTTTCTGGCGCCCCTGCCTGGACTCTGTACGGTGCAGCCTCGTTGCCAAACTACGTTTTCCGGCAGGCCCCGGGGCGCCGGGCGCCGAGCGGAGAGCGTCGCAAGGGGCGGGCCTGACGCAGCCTCCTCGGTGCCCGGCCGTCGCCAGGCAACCTTCCCCCTTCGCGGCCGAGACTGAGCCTGGGCTCGGCCTCCTCCGGGAAACTGCGCTGAAGTGCGCTGTCAGGCGGGGCGATGGAGAAGGGCCGAAGCCCCCTCAGGCCCAGCTAAAGCAGACGGCTCGCACTGCGACCCGAAGGTGAGGGTGATCGGCCGCGCTGGGGCCCGGCTTCGGGGGCAGGAGTTGCGGCCCTTCCGCTTGGTTCGGTCCGGGAACTGGGATATGAGGCCACTGCGTGCACAGCTGGCACACACCCGAGTGGGTCAGTGGGAGCCATCGTTGGCCCCGCGGTTCTCTGGGAAATGTAGACCCGCTAGGCGGGACGGTACCCGCCTCAGGCCATACTGCGCAGGTGCTGATCTGAGTCTGGGTCCCTCCTGGGTCGAGGAGTTCTTTGACCCAGATCTTCGTGGAGGCGTGTTCGCCCGGCCCTAAGGTCCCTTGCGGGCCTCCTTGGCCTTACAGCGCTCGTCCGCTGTTCGTACCCCTTCCCTCCTCTGTCTTGGAAATGTAGTCTCGAGGGAGGAGCTTGGTCATCCACCCAGACTTCGTGAGGCCCCCGAGCTCGGGGCTGCCTGTTGAGAGTGGGAGGGAGAGGGTGAGTGAATGTGTGGGTGAATTAATTTACAATTATGGGAGAGCAGGCAAAGGTATTAATGTGGGAGAGAGAAGGGTGGGCCCAAGAGTGGTTCAGATTTCGGTGCTTTCCCCAGGCTTGAACCTTCCCCAGTCCACCCGCCTTTCCCTGTGTCCCTAGCTGAAGGCCCTGTGGGCTGTGCCTCCTTGTTTCAAGGCAGGTGCGTGGTCCATGGAGGTACTCATCATAGGTGTAGTCACTCCACAAACAGAACGGTCAGGCCGCATTTGTTCATGTCTTTTTTTTTTTCTTCCTTCCTTCTTTCCTTCCTTCCCTCCCTCCCTCCCTCCCTCCTTTCCTTCCTTCCTTCTCTTTTTTTTTTTTTTTTTTTTTGAGACGGAGTCTTGCTCTGTCGCCCAGGCTGGAGTGCAGTGGCGCGATCTCGGCTCACTGCAACGTCCGCCTCCCGGATTCAACCAGTTCTCCGGTGTCAGCCCCCCAAGTAGCTGGGATTACAGGCACACGCCACTATGCCGGGCTAACTTTTTTTTTTTTTTTTTTTTTTGAGACTGAGTCTTGCTCTTGTCGCCCAGGCTGGAGTGCAATGGTAGGATCTTGGATCACTGCAACCTCTGCCTCGCCTCCCTGGTTCAAGCTATTCTCCTGCCTCAGTCTCCCGAGTAGCTGGGATTACAGGCACCCACAACCACGCCCGGCTAATTTTTGTAGTTTTAGTAGAGACATGGTTTCGCCATGTTGGCCAGGCTGGTCTCGAACTTCCGACCTCGTGATCTGCCCGCCTCAGCCTCCCAAGTGCTGGGATTACAGGCATGAGCCACCATGCCTGGCCTGTTTCTGCTTTTCACACGCACAATTAAAAAAAAAAATCTGTTTTGACCAGGTATTACATTCACATGGTTCAAAATGTAAAAGCGATAAGGTGAGACAGACACACAATAAATAAATAAATACGGCGGGGGATGGCCCTCTCTCATAAGGTTGTGTTTGAAAAGAACTGCAGAAGGTGAGGGGAAAAGCCATGCAGATAACAGGGAAGAGCACCTGCTTTGGGCCAAAGGAACCACAGGAACAAAAGTCCCTTTGTAGCTGGCACAGTGGCTCACGCCTGTAATCCCAAACTTTGGGAGGCTGAGGCGGGTGGATCACTTGAGGTCAGGAGTTTGAGACCAGCCTGGCCAATATGGTGAAACCCTGTCTCTACTGAAAATACAAAAATCAGCTGGGCATGGTGGCACACACCAGTAGTCCCACCTACTTGGGAAGCTGAGGCAGGAGAATTGCTTGAACCTGGGAGGCAGAAGTTGCAGTGAGCCAAGACTGCGCCATTGCATTCCAGCCTGGAGGGCAGAACGAGACTCAATCTCAGCAAACAATCAAAACAAAAAAAGCCCCTTTGCTCCGTCTGGAGAATGTGGTCAGGAGTGAGCAGAGTAGAGGAGGAGGCTTTGAGCCCTACAAGGGAACCAGTGAGGACTGTGGCTTTTACTTGAAGGCCTGGGAGGGCTCCAGCAGAGGTCAGGATCTGACTTAGGTTCCCTGAATCATTCTTGATCTGGTATGGAGAACCATCATCCCCTTCTATCCTTGGGTACTCCATGGTGGTGGTACCAACTAGGGAAGCTCTCTTCTGTGTTAGTTTCTTTCTTTTTTTTTTTTTTTGAGACGGAGTCTTGCTCTGTCGCCCAGGCTGGAGTGCAGTGGCCGGATCTCAGCTCACAGCAAGCTCCGCCTCCCGGGTTAACGCCATTCTCCCGCCTCAGCCTCCCGAGTAACTGGGAGTACAGGCGCCCGCCACCTCGCCCGGCTAGTTTTTTGTATTTTTTAGTAGAGACGGGGTTTCACCATGTTAGCCAGGATGGTCTCGATCTCCTGACCTCGTGATCCACCCGTTTCGGCCTCCCAAAGTGCTGGGATTACAGGCTTGAGCCACCACGCCCGGCCTGTGTTAGTTTCTTATTACTGTTGTAATATTACTACGAACTTAGTGGTATGAAGCAACATAAACTTATTATCTTAGAGTCCTAAAGGTCAGAGTCTGAATTCGGTTTTACTAGGCTAAAATCAAGGTATCAGCAAGGCTGGTTTCTTTTGGAAGTTCTGGGTTTCAGTGATCACACAGCCTTCTCCTAAGTCAACTCTTCCTCTGCCTTTTTTTTTTCTTTTCTTTTTTTTTTTCGAGATGGAGTCTTGCTCTGTCCCCGAGGCTGGAGTGCAGTGGCATGATCTTGGCTCACTGCAACCTCTGTCTCCCGACTTCAAGCGATTCTCCTGCCTCAGCCTCCTGAGTAGCTGGGATTACAGGCACGTGCCACCACGCCTGGCTAATTTTTGTAATTTTAGTAGAGATGGGGTTTCACCATGTTGGTCAGGCTGGTCTCGAACTCCTGACCTCATGATCTGCCCGCCTCAGCCTCCCAAAGTGCTGGGATAACAGGTGTGAGCCACCACGCCTGACCCCTCTGCCTCCTCTTATAAGTACCCCTGTGATTATATTTCGGGGCCACTGGAATAACTCAGGATAATCTCCTTATCTTGAGATTAATTTACAAAGTTCCTTTTGCCATGTAAGGTAATTTACTCCTCGTTTCCTGGGATTATGATATGGACATGTTTAGGTGACCTTATTCAGCTTCCCACACTGACATTTGCTGTCTCCAAGTGAGAAGTGTGGAGATGGGTAGTTCACCTCATCCTGTCTGGGAGGTGGCTCAGGATCTTTTGATTCTCTTGGCTTCCTCTTGTGGTTTTAAGAGATTCCTGTGGAGCCCTAAGGAGTTAAGAGAACATGGAAAAATGGGCTTAACTGGCAGGAACAGAAATGGGTAAACAGGAGCAAATGTCCTGAGAAATGGGGTCAGCTGCAAATGGCTCACTTGCATGCAAGCATCATGTCTGCAAGCACTGAACCTGAGCAGCATGACCTTGTAAAACTTCCCTCTTGCTTCTTGGCAGACCGGCTTCCCTCTTCTTCTTCTTGTTTTTTTTTTGAGACGTAGTCTCACTCTGTTGCCCAGGCTTGAGTGCAGTGGCG